TGCATTCAGTGGGGCCTTGCAATGTGATAACCAAGTCCCTCTATCTCCTAAAGTGACTGGATATAAAAGAGTGATAAATCCAATGACTTTTGTAGATGTACTGTTTCATAATAGTCTTGTCATTTACACAGAAAAGTTGGTATGGAGATAGAAGTTGTCTGCCTTCTTGTTAAGCCTATCCCAGAGTGAGAATGTAATTAAGCCTTAACTGTGCATTAGAGTAGAAGGAAAGACATCCAGAGCTTTCGAGATGAGATTATTCATTCTTCTGAGTTGTTTTTCTTTTTACACTGTAGGCAAAGGAGACAACAATTTGATTTCTTCACCATTCTTTCATGTAACTCTTGATAAATCAAGTACCAAGCGCTACAAAACTGTCAAAAGGTCCCGTATTCAAGATTTAAACCACATTTTTATAACATACTCAATTGCTTTCCACTTTGTGTCTGGAAGATATGCTGGTATCTCACAATTAGTGTAGTTCTGAGGAGAGCTTTTAGCAGGAACTTCTCACAGAGTTATACTCCAGAAAGACCGATAATTAAGACTTACATCAATAAGGATGTCAGTTAAATATGGGAAAGGAATTATTTTAAGGCAGAATAAAAAGCTGATAATGTCAGTGGAAGTGGCATGCATGGGTATTTCAGGCTTACTTCTCTTCCCATGGAAGTCAACAGGAGTTTTGCGATGAAGGTAGCAGCAGAGTAGGATAATAAAATATCCAAGCAGATAAAAGGAACATTATTTCCTATTCTCCATCACTGATCTATAAAGCATCAAAAGCTGACGTGCTTATAACAGTGTACAGTCTAATTATAATAAAGCAATGTTTCATGAAGGTTCTATTGCACAGACAAACCAAAGCCAACACAGGAAGAAGTTACCTTGGATATTAAAAAAAGACCAAGTATAAGAACATATTCCAACACATTTTTGTCTCTGGATAGAAAAAAGTTTTCAGGTAGTGATATGATTCTACAGTTGTTCACAAAAACAGGGTCCTAGTATGAAAAGTCATGCTAAAAGATTCAGTTTAGTTTTAAGAAGTAAGGGCTTCTCAGTTCTCATGAAATCCCTAGACTTCTGCATTTCATCAATTAAATTCTACCTGCCCTATTCCAGAGGAGACATTTCTTCTTAAATCATGCAAATACAGAAGACGCTGTTATTGTTAGCAGGAGTTTTGAAAGAGGGATACATGATTTTTCAAAAGTTCTCTATTAAAGGACTATGAAGATTGACATTCCCAACTTTTTTTTCTTTTAAGACTATTAAATCTTATGTAGCCCATACAGCTACCAACAAAAAGCATGGGGGAAAGTGTGTATTAACAACAAATGACTCTTTTCTACCTTCTCAGTGGCAGCTCCTGCCAGATACTTTTTTTTTTTTTCCCTAATCCCAAAAAGCAGAAAGGACAGTTGATTGAGCACACTTGGCTAATCACCAGAAAGCCAGCAGCTGTTGCTAATGGCACCACCCTTGTTCTGCTTCTGAAACAATATTGGATTCTGTCAGCTTCCTTTCCCATTAGTAGCAGCCATCTAATGCTAGTTTTTCCAGTGTGCTTCTGCTATTGCTTACTTCCATATGGCTGAAGCAGGCTGTGGAACTTACAAAAACTCAGGCTTGTAATATGCAAGAAAAGACACAAGGTCTGTAAGTCATGCAAAAGGAAATCTTTATGAAACTTCTTCCTTTCCAACCTCTTGGAAACAAACTCTGTAGAAATTCTTGTTTTCTAATAATCAGCAAACTAATCTGTAATCATTCAGTTTTTAATAGAGCTAGTACCATCTTGGAAATGTGCAGATACCAGTGAAGTGCTATACAGCTGGGCATGTTCTATACAGTTTTTTGGAGGCAGCTATAAAGCATACCCAACAGCATTCTTATGTAAATCATTCCTGCGCAACAGAGCTCCAGCACCAAAAGCTTTGATCTGGCCTGGTAATATTTCATTCCTAGACGCTTATAAATAAAAATAAAAAACCCACTTAGCTCCTTTTTTAATACGTGTTAAATTTTATTTTAACGGTAAAACAGCATTCAGTAAAGGACAGTTAACTAATGTGAATAAATCATCACACATCTGTGATGCAATTTCTTTGAAGCAGAAGCCCTTGGCAAGAAGAAAACTGGAATATTGTTTAGTTCCAACATCACGGTATAAGGAAAAAGAGCTTGGCCAATGAGGAGAGATAAAATTTCCATCCCTATGAAAAGTGCCACAGTGTAACATAGTCAGCAATTTGGTGGTTAGTTATAACTCAGGGAAGAACTTCTGCCCCATAACTTCTCTGTGCTGCTGCTTCAGTGACACAGGCCATAAAGCTGGTACAATTGACTAGCATATACGGAAGCTGAAGGCAAGAAAAAAAAACCCAGTTTTGAACTTGTTCATAAAGAAATCACATCATGTGTGGGGCTGGTGTAGCTGTGATCAAGAGGATACAGAGGCCATCAGAATGACCAGGGAGCAACAAGGGGTACAGAATATTTTAGGTATAGGTAAGCTGTTGAATTTACCAAGCACAGTATTACAGGGTCCTATGCTAATTTCTTCTCAACACCTCATTCGATTTACTTATTTAAAGAACTTTTCAAATTGCCATTCTTGAACACAGGCTGGGGGTTGAAAACTAAGTGCTGTTCTTTCTGCATCACTGTAGGTTAGAACGATTCAGGAGCGTGCTTTGGCTTAGTGCTTAATAATGATGCTTTTCCTTGAGCCAGATATAAACCAGTTATATCTTGCATCGATACATTGCTTCTGCAGGGTTAGCAAGAATAAGAAGTAGCAGTATTCTTTTTTCTTTAAAAAGAATAAGAACTATAGTTTTGAAGAAAGAAGGTTTATGCAAGAAAGTATCACTTTTTTTAAACCATAATCCCATGGAAAACAGACCTGGGAAGGGAAGGGAGGGAAAGGGTAGGGAGGAAGTTTTACACTTGAAATGCCTTAAAGTTTCCGTACAGTTACCACTTGGACCTATTACTTCATATGTACCTGTTTTCTTTTAGTCCCTGGAACAGACTCCTGTGGGAAACAGTGAAAGTCCCATTTCTTCATCGTTAAACACTATTTTGGAAGAAAGCAATTGAGATTATACACTTGTTCTGTCAAAGTACCCAAATAGGCCTATCCAAATATAAAGATTTGTTTGTTTGCATTGATTTTCATGCATATTTAAATGGATAAATTCATAGCCTTAAATGAAAGTAAGGAATAAACCCTCGAGATTGCTAAATGCTGTTTTCAATATCTCTGTGGCAGTGGGCATGATGTTACTCCTCCCTGATCAATTAACACTTTGTTTTTGCCTTACTGTCTGATAATCATCTAATATTCTTTAATGGGAAGTAGCAGACCACAGTAACCAACAGGCCTTCTTTATTCTGGGATCAAACTCTTCATTGCAGAGGAGCTATTCTAAATCCCCAAGAACACTTTGAACCCGAGACCAGCAGCCAGCTTCTGACCTTCACCGCCAGAAGCAAATGATGCCTATTTGAAACAGACAGTCAGCGTCGGAATTCGCAGAGTCAAAAGGGCTATCGCATCAGCTGGTTTCCTATTTATCATCCTTTTTTTCCTCTACAAGGTCTAATAACCTGCTATGTAATATATAACTTGCTATACTTTTTTTTTAACCTAGCCTGAAATGTGCTCAGAAAATGAATGTTTCTTCTCCTTTTCCTTGAAAACAAACTAATCTGATCGCCATCAACTAAACCAGCTTTGAATACTTACAACCCCGTATCCAACTGGACTCATAGAGGAGTTAGCCAAAGGCCAATTACAAGCTGATCTAGCTAAAGCCAGTATATTCTGGACCTAGGACAATCTGGATTTAGGCCAAGACCTAGGATGGAAAGAGCTTTACTGGATGATGAATTATCTCCTGCTGTCAACAGACAGCAGAAAGACATATATTCTCGTCCTCCTGGACAACTTAGCCTAGAATTGCGTTCCATAAGAGAAAATAACCAATGCCACTTAAAAGTATCATAAATCTTGAGAAACGTATTCTCAACTACTTTTGATGCCATGCCTGCTTATTTTCTAGCATTTTTGTGAACACAATATGGGCTATTTATTGCAAATTTTATCCGTCTGCATCCCATGCAATCATATAACTCTCTGGTTTTGAGCAACCATGCTCACAAAGAATACACTCCAATACAGTAGTTGGCTTTTGAGAAAAGAGATTTTTTAGTATTCATATTGCTGTAACACTTAGAAACCATGCTTGGGAGGATTGACTCTCCCATGCCAAGTACGTTGCAAATACAGAACAGAAGAGGATCTTCTAGAGAGCTAATAAAGTGAGAAAAAAACTAGAGACAAAAGTTACATTCAGATAGATGGGAGAGTGCAAGAGAAGAATTAGTGTGAAGCAGGCCAAGATAACAGAAGCCCAGCCCTGCATCTAGCTATAGATCAAAGAGGAAAAATTGCAGCCTTCAGGCCAAGTTATTCACTCAGCTAATAGACGAGTCTTTCGATACCAGACGTTGCTAATACTGTCACCGAGAATTTGTCAACTGGGTTCAGGGCACCTGTTCCAGCTTCTAAATATAAGTGGAAACATCCAGAGTTCACTTAGAAAATGCATTTACAAAATGCATGCTACGGAAAGGTTTCAAAAACTTTTGGACATCAGAATTTTCCCCATATTTAACAAGAGGTTGGTCTGGTTGATCTGGGTAAAGGTTCAGCTAGCTGATATCTCTGAAAATTTTACATCATCCACTTTTCTGAAAAGGTTGCAGTAAGAGTCAGAGACAGTTACTCTTCATAAAACAAATCTAACTATGAGAACAAGGCCAATTAATTTTAAAAGTTAAGGATGTGCTAGCAGTGCAACAAAAGTTAATCAGAATTAATGCTTGCATTTATTTTCACAGACATCACATTAATCAACTGTAAAGTAAACAGAGAAAGGTATATATGGCCAAATTTATCCTTCTGTGGATACAGGCAAGGGCTCACATATTATGGAAAGGAACCTTCCACATCTTCAAATAGGGTACATTTCAAGCAAAACTCTCTTCTAACTCTGCCCATGCCCGAGTCAGTCCTCTTCTCCTTCCTCCATCCCATCTCCTGACAAAAGAAAACAAAACTTGATATTGGTATTAATACTAAGGTATCTGATTATGTGAGCAAATATTGCTCTCTGTTTCAATCCAACAGGAATCTTGTGCAGTTTGACTTTTTAAAAAAACCTTAGTTCTTATTGCCATATAATTATACTAGCATCTCATCCCTGACTGGGGAAGCACTTTGTGAAGACTACAGTATATGTGATGACGTAGGTGAAGAGTGTACTCAAGAGCAGGACTGCTAGGCAGGAGGTAGTAGGACAGGGAGAAGGATTAAGATATTTAAAGGAGGTTTATTCTCTGAATCTGAGGTACTTTCTCTGTACCCTCAGTAAAACGACAAAAATATATTTTCGTGTTCTGAAAAGCTTTCTTTCTACCCTGAGGTATATACAAATCTCACTACTATGTTTGTGTAAATGTAATATAATCTGAGAGGTCCCATTAACTCACTTTCACTTCTGTAAGAGTTTGGAGTTCTGAGCATTTAGTATTGTTATAGACTTAGGCTCTCAATTCAGTGGAAATCAATGAGGTTACTCTTAAGGATAGGACGGAACCCACGCATCAACGTTTATAGAATTAGTTTCTTGGCCTCTGTCCTGGACCGTTCTCTTTCAGCTTAATACTTTCAGTTTTAAATTTACCCTTTGAGAAGCGCCTTGTATCATTGTTCAAAACACAGTTCACCTACTCTAACTCTTCTCTCTCTCTACTTTGTGTTATTAACATTTTGTTAGCTATATTTTTGCTTTGACAAGAATGTGCATAAATGCAAGAAGGCATATTGTGTAAAGGAGGGAATAAATGATCTTTTAAGTACCAAAACTTAAACTTTTAACACTGCTAAAAATTTCTCTGAACATTTTTGACAACTTCATGTGGTGAACAGATAGGTAACGTGAAAGCAGAAAGTTAAATAATACTTATTTCATAAATCTTTTCAGATGCAAGCACATACTTGATAATTATAAAATACTACAGACAATCTTTTCACCACATGCTTATACAATACCTAATGCTCCAGGCTTCTAGCCCATAACCAGGATTTCTAGGTGCTTAGCTAACTTATAATTAAATTTAATTCCTCTTCCCAACCCAAACAACTTAACCGTAAATGGCTTAATACATACCTTTGAACCTCTGCATGTCCTATTTCTGTAGCCAGAGCTGGATCCTGCTGCAGTGCAGAACATCTCACTCCAGAGGAACTCAGTAGGTGATTAAAGCAGCTACCTCCACAGTAGCAAGTGCCAGTTTGACCCTACACGAGACAGCTTGCTCCAGGGAACCATGAGGAGGTGCTGATTTGGCCAAAGAGAATGAAAAAATTATTTTTTCTATTGGCAGTAACCTCACCCATTGCTATGTCAAGACTGCAAGCCTCCTCCTCGATATGCATAAGAACATTACCATGACCAAGAAAAGCCTTAAACTGGCCTTTCTAGCAGTAAACTAGTACTGAAAGAGGAGATTATGATTTCTGCTTTAGAATCATGTAAAATATCTCGTAGCCCATTCACTTAAACTGTAGGTGGCTTTCTAAACCCACAGTGCTAGAGTCTGAAATATAAACTTGAATTTTCTAGTGATACCAATTTCACTTGCTTGTAAACAAATTGTGTCATTGCACTGAACTCACATCAACTGTCAAAAGGAATTTTAGTGATGTATTTGCAGATATTCATGCTTTTGCATCGCTCCCTTTCTCACTCTGCTAGTTACAAGAAAGACAGTCGTGTATTTTCCTTCGTCATCATATTTAGCAGCTTAACTATTCAATTACGAACAAACTCTTTGTCTCAGAAAACTCATACAATAATACAATATTGTAATCACACAATTAATACAATATTAATTCGGATAGTTTCACTTTCAAGAAGCAGAAATCTTTCTTCTTGGTTCAGGTTTTTCTGTCTTCTAAGGGTTAAGTTCTTTAGTTCTATATCTACTTTCAATAGCAATTATTAGTACATAAGGAATTGCAGAACTTGTTACTTGCTAATAAAGAATTTGAGGGACAGATTAATGTGTGAGTAGAGTGAATGAATAGCTTAATCATAGAAAGAGAGGGAGGAGAGAAAGAAGAAAAAAGTACAGACACATAGTCTGTACAGGCAAATAGTACAGACACATGAAGTCCGTGAGCAAAGCCCATACCTTCCTGTGAAGCACAGCACTTTGAGATTAAATTTGTAACTCCTAATTTATTTAGCTATTTAATAGATAAAAAATTTGTGTCCTCAGAAAAGGTAGCATTATAGCTTGCAGTAATTTTTCCAGTGGTCTCCAACTTCTAACTCTAATCTTTTTCATTTTTAGTTCTACCAACTAGCTCTCATGCAAATCTCAATCTTGTTCAAATGCTGGGTCATTCATTCCATTGCATATAAGGGAGCAGCAAAGAAGGAAAACACTTTTACAGATAATCAGGATCAGGATACAGATAATAATGCTCAAGTTTATGTATGTAAAAAAGATTATATTCAGAACATGTGTATAAGGTACAATTGATATTAAGAAGAGAAGAAAGAAAGAGAAAAACAGTAATATGACTATAGTTTCTTATGGACAGATTTATTTCTTTACCCTGTGAAAGAGATGGCTCCTAACACCAGTGACCTTGCACAAAAATTTGCTGTAATAAACAAGGGCATGGAGAGTGAAAGTGGGAGTCCTGTTATAAAGCTTTTTAACAGATCATCTTCAGTGCTGTTTCAGCAATTCCTTGTTTTGTTGAACAAAGAGTGCCAAATCATGAGAGTGGTCTTTGCAACTTGTGAAAAAAAACAGGTGAGAATTATTCAATAACTCATTTAAGTGATATTTGATAAACACATAGAAAGAGTATGTTAAAGTGTCTTTGTGTTCATAAAGTCAAAGATGTAGCCTTTTGATTATCTTGTATTTTGAGAATTTCACACTGTCATCCTCAAAACCACATTTTCCTGCAGCAGTTTTGCCATTCAGCCAACAGCATGTACCCTAGTACACTTTTGTGTTTTAAAGCAAATATAGAAGATGAATGCAAAGAGAAGGAATAGCAGTCAGGGATGGTTTAGAAGAATTATCAGAGTTCGTTTATGTACTTTATTGGTGTCTCACTATTTAAGACAGGTGGATAATGAGTATTCTCAAAGGTACAGGGAGCCAGCAGGTAAAAATCAACAGTTTAACTCATTCAAAGGCTAGCAATATCCTCTGGTTTTGTAAGCAACTACAAAAAGGCATATAATTTTCTCATTTTTCTATAGACATCAGACACAGAAAGTAAGTTTTTGCAGAAGACTTTGCAGAAGGGTTTCAGCTGATGGTATTCCATAGGGAAGATTCTAACTTCAGTGTTAAAATACAAAGATGCCAACGTAAAGTGTCTTTAGCATTAATGCTAAAGTTGAACAAAACAGTAGAATAAATTAGAACGTTGCTTCTCTGCAGGGGAAAACTGGAAAGTACAATTTTCATTGTGCACAGCTTTTCCACTACAATTAAATGCAAAGTTACCGTTCTGTTTTATCATTGGAATATTCAGCAGTGATTAGATAGGAAAAATGTATTATGCAATGAAAGAAAATAAAAGTTTAACTGCACACTATTTACAAAAAGCGTATTACAAAACAGCGATAAAGATAGTAATGAAAGAGCATGGGGAAGCCACAGAATTCATCCTTCATGATATAAATGCCCAATATATCTCAACTACTATTTGTTAGTGCATCTACACACACACAAATTTTAGAAGTGTTTTTTAACACAGGAAAAAATATGAATTAACAGTAATGCTGTCACTATATCTTCCAAAGTGTTCATAACCCAAGAGGGTTGCTAATAGTTAAATTAAAAACAAATTTACACGATGATAAAAACTAAAATAGAAAATAAATACGATAGAAACTATCATACTGAACATTTATTAGCTTGTAAACTTACTAGGCTAAAATGTCATATTAATATATCTCATTTATTCCAATGCATAATTTGATGTGTGTCTCATGATGCTAAAACACTGAAGAAAGTACTTCATGCATATGGCTTCATATGCTGTTATATCAAATGAAAAATATATATTAGAAATTTAGAAATCAAATTTCTCTAGGAACATATCCCTTCTCTATCAACCACTCAACCACACCTGCAGGCATACTTCATGGCCAAAAATAAAAAGATAAGGGTTTTCTGGCACCCTGAAGTTATTTAAATGCACACACATGCCCACACCCTCACTTCATCTGCTCCTAATTAAGAGTGCTATCGCACCCAGAAAGAACAAGATTGACCTCTCTCTTCATGCTATGTCTGATTTTCAGGTTGGACACATCCAACACCTGGTTTCTCAGACATACATGCCTTACAGCATTCCGTGTACCACCTGTTTACCTTGCTTGAACTAATAACAGTTATTTGCCACTGAGAGATAAGAAGGGCAGATTTTCCCTGTGCCCTACCTTTGGACTTAAGTAATTTCAGCTTTCTCATTATTAATCATAGCACCAAGAACGAGTCTAGAAAGGATGTGAGTTATGGACAAAGATGATGCTCAGGATAAATTATTCTGAAAAGTAACCAGTTTTTAATAACAACCTCTCACTGTAAGTCCAATAAATCTATCTGGGAGCTGGATGGCTGCCTAGTGAACGACATCATTAAGTTTTCCAGGTAGTCTTTACCTAGTTAGAGAGCATTGAAGTCTGTTCTGAAAATGATGGGAGCAGATGTACTTCATGTCAAGGAACATCTGGCAAGTTGAAGTTATTTAGAATATGCTTTGGCACAAAGTCGTTATTTGAAACAGCTGTACTTATAATAGAAATGTTGAATATCCTACCACAGCTAATTTCTTAAAAATTACCTCCTTTCCTATTCCTACAGTATTGCCTGTACCTCACCTGGGTTGAAAATTGCCTCATTTTTATTCTTTATTTTTTCCAGAAAGTAAGAAAATTTGAAGGAGAGAACTTGCATCATTTACTGACTTTAATATCTGTTAACACTCAAAACTAAGTAATATGAATGCAAACCAAAAAATCAAGAAAGTTTCCTGGCATAGGGGCCTTTGCAATAATAATAGTAATAATATTATTTCCTTCAGTTTGTCCACATTTAAATCAGTATCCTAATCATTTCATAATGTAAATGTAACAGGGATAGTTTCATACTGAGCCAGCCTTATTCCTGGAGAAGTGAACACAATGACTAGGTTGTGGGGAAGAACAAATATAGAGAGTTCTGAAAAAAGTGATTCTCCCTAGATATACGTGGTCTGACTTCTTCTGCCTCCAAGCAAAAGAACATACTAGAGGCAGTAAAAATGTGGACGTTTATGGTAGAGAAAACATGCCAGTAAGCTCATAGGTGGAATAACTGTGATATGTCAAGCTGTAAAGTACTAAGGTAGCAGCAAAAAAAAAAAAAAAAAAGAATTGCCTTCACCTTCTGCTATGAACATTTATAGGCTAAGTCTGCTTTCTAGGTCTTCATATAGGAGCTGACTGAATCAAAATACTTGGGGCAAACCCAAGTTAAGCACTTAAGGTCCATGCAAGCATTAGAGATAACCTTACACTGGTTATGTCTCTAATGAATATATATATAGCATCCTACTGAGTTTCTAGATCTTGATATTCAGATATAGAATTAAAGCTGTCTTTGACTAGACATCAGAAAAGCAATGAGGGAAAGGGGGGAATCTGATGGTCTACAGTGCAATGAGTGTTATTGTGCCCAAAGGCAAAATGCATCAGTTCATCAAGAGAAGAAAAATAAAAGTGGAGAAATCACAGAATCACAGAACGGTCAAAGGCGGAAATGACGTCTGAAGAATCTATTCTAACCCCCCTGCTCAGTCAGGGTCGTCTAGAGCATATTGCACAGGATTGTTTTACAAGGCAGGTTTTGAATATCTCCAGCAAAGGAGACTCCACACCCTCTCTGGGCAACCTGTTCCACCACTCTGTCACCCTCACAGGAAAGAAGTTTTTCCTCATGTTCAGATGGAACTGCCTGTGGTTCAGTTTGTGCCCGTTGCCTCTCATCCTATCACTGGGTACCACGGAGAAGAGTCTGGCCCCATCCTCTTGACACCCTCCCCTTCAGATACTTGTACACATTGATCAGATTGCCTCTCAATCTTTTCTCCAGGCTAAACAGGCCCAGCTCCCTCAGCCTTTCTTCATAGGAGAGATGCTCCAGTCTCCTCATCCTCTTTGTAGCCCTCCGCTGGGCTCTCTCCAGTAGTGCCGTGTCTCTCTTGTACTGGGGAGCCCAGAATTGGACAAAGTACAGATGTGGCCTTCCCAGGGCTGAG